TGCTTCGGAGCACTGCTTTTTATAAAGTGCAGCTGAGATACTGCGGAGCACTTGAAAAGAAGCAACACTTAGGAGTACTCATTTTTTGTGGGTACTCCATTGTAGCTTTTGGAGTACTCCTTTTGAGTTGACTACCATATGCTGAAATTTTTAATCATTTCTGAGCATCAGTCCAACAAGCCTGTTCGATCGTATTTATTCATTTTTCTCTGCAAGTTGGACGTTCTTAATACAATCTTATGCAGGAAAACACGCATAATTAACGGGCTGTAAAATGTTATATAGCACATCTTTTCAAACTAATGTCTTCATAGCGTTATTCAACAAACATTATCTATGACTATTGCTTCACGGACATGTAACCCTCATTGAATATAATAAAATAGATATAAAATAGATATAATTTTGTCAGCGCACTCAGTTTACATATAGAACGTACATACAAATAGTGCCCAGTGAGCGTGACGGACGTAGACACATATAGTGACCAGTGAGTGTGATGGACGTAGATACATACAGTGACCAGCGATTGTGACGGACGTACATACAAATAGTGCCCAGTGAGTGTGACGGACGTAGATACATATAGTGACCAGTGAGTGTGACGGACGTAGATCCACATGGGTAGATGCGTTACAAAACTTACAAGTGTTCCTTGTTATGCAATCGTCCAGTGCTTAGATGATTATTGGAAATCAGACGATAAACCAATAACACAACCTATTTTATCAGAGCTCATTGAACATTTTGATTGTTTAACAAAACCGGTGACTGATCGTCGTAGCCGTGATATTGCCAAATAAATATTTTATGCTTATGGTATTTCTAAAAATGGACAAGTGTCAGTTGGTCAATTTCTAGATGCGTACGTACTATTAAGTAAATATTCATCGGCAAAAGAATGTTTAGGTTTTATTATTGATCGCACAAATGTAAAAACGGATTATATCACTAAAGAATATGCATGTGCATTATTTCATATAATAAGTCGTTATTATTTGATGGAGCACAGTGAAATAAGCTGGCAGCAATACTGTGAAACACTGATTAATAACAATAAACAGATATCAAAAGTTGAATTCGTAAGTACATCTTTATCTTTCTCTTTGGAAACGTTTTTATTGGCAAAAAATTAGGTGAATTATCTCATTACTCGTTTTCTTTGTGGTAGTGCCTTTCGGTTAAAAACTTCTTTCACGATGAGCACTCCGATATTATCATCTCTTACACAGTGGTAGACTAGTAACTTTTTCATCGAAGTAGCCTTCACATCGAGGTAAACTGCATCAAATTATTCAGTTAAAAAAGTGAGACGTGCGACAAATTTATATTACTATGTCGAATCTCTTTTATCCTTCGGCGAATAATGCCGTGGACAACGCTGATGTTCTTCATCTATTTTAGGTTGATTATTTGACGACACGTTCCAGTCTAGCAGCTTATTTAAATTAAATAAACAAACAAACAACAATTTTACCACAACTACCACTTAGCCTAACTTTTCTATGTGTTATTGCGTATTTTTGCTATCTGTGATTTTATTGTGCTATCTCTGAAAGAACCATACTAATCTGATCCTATCACATCGTCTCATATTCATACAGTATTTCCTGTGGTTTGTATTTATTGTTAGTTTGCAACGTGTTTTTTATAGTTAAATATATTCGACAGTCATTAGAGAAGATCGTCGTTTTTGAAAACCTTTCTAACTTAATGAGAAACTGAACAGATGGGTCGTGTGGTATCTAGAGATATATACAGTAAAACCTCTCTATTGTGAACACCATCGGGACTTTTCAAAAACGTTCACTATGAAGAAGTGTTCATTTTAGAGAGATGGTGCATGTTTTGCTGGGAAATGAAAAAAAGTTCTAGAATGTCTGCTTCTACACTAGCTCTGAATTAATTATATTGTTCATCTTTTAAAGTTAGCTCGTGTCGTGATATCATTCTTTTTTGCATACCTACAGTAGTCACTTTGAGCCTAAGTCATCTATTTTATCGAAAATCGTTGGTTAACTGCGGTTCTTCAAATAATCACCAACTGACTCGCGGTTCGCTATAAACCGTTAATTAATCATGGTTAACCACCGGTATTTCTGATAACGCGGTTGGGAAAATTAACTGGCAATTGACCATGTTAATCCGGAGAACCGACGATTAACCGTTTCTTTTCCAATCACCGTTTTGTTTTGTGGTCACTATATGTATATAAGGACAACATGATTTATCAAAAGCCTTCAGAATTTTTTCCGTGACTTCTTGAAGTATGAGCTTCGACTTAGTCTAAATATTTTCAGACGGCTTCTAAGCGTCATGGCAAACAGACAGGTACTGCTCAGTCCAGAATTTCACCAGTATGAGACTGTGACTAACAGACAGTTTATTGCTATGAAACATATGAAAGCTCCACACTAAAAAATGTTCAGAGGAGGATTTGTACTGATATCGCTTGCTCAGCAAAAAAACCGTCAATTAACCGCGGTTAACCGAGCATTTAGTGCCGGTTCGCGGTTAATTGCGGTTAACCGGACGGAAAGCGCACACTCAACCGGACGGTGAACCGAGGTTAATTGGCGGTTTTTACCGGTTTGATAAACATGGGAGTACATAAAGCGTAGTTAGTATTAGTATGAAAGAGGCAGATGATAAACAGTAGAGAGTGAAATAGAGAGAAACATTGCACATATGTTCAAATTAGAAAGGTTATAATAGCAGGAGGGACTGAAAAAATAGTGTTCATGTTCAGAATACAAAGTTGTTCACATTAGAGAGGTGCATTTCCAGCAAAAATCGCTCCGTCAGACCTGATAGCGTGTTCACTGAGGAGATGTTCACTTTACAGAGGTGTTCACTAATAGAGGTTTTACTGTAGAAGCAAGACATTAATGTAGGTGCTTAGTTAAAAACGAGAGAAAGTAGTTAACTGTAACCAATGAAAAAATTTGACCCATTACAAAAATAGAATATTAACAGCAGTGGCAGAGTTCCTACAATTCTAGAATTCTACTCCTATACAGCGGAATTGAATATGGATCCGACAGAATTGAACAGTGATGTCTACGTGCTTCTAAATATTCAATTCTGTCTGATCATTCTTCAATTCTGCTGGAGCTAAGTTCAGTTCTATTTCAATTCTGCTGTAAAAATATTTAATTCTGCTTAACTTGATCGGTCTACGTATTTCTAAACATTCAATTCTGTCTCATCATTGGAAAAGTAAGTAGACTGATCAAGTTAAGCAGAATTGAAATAGAATTGTACTTAGATCGTAATAGAATTGAATGTTTAGAAGCACTCAGACATCATTGTTCAATTCTGCTGTATAGGAGTAGAATTCTAGAATTGTAGGAACTCTGCCATCCCTCAATATTAATAAAATAATAGTATACAAAATCAGTTGTTTTATGTAAAATATTCAAATGGAAAAATTAACATCAATTAAAGCTCATTTACTATAACGAATTGAAAGCGGTTGTGTTCGATTAAACTTAAAGAAAGGAAACATAAAGCGACATAAGTTTAATATAAAAAATTTGAGAAAAAACACAACTTTTGGTTTCCATATACAAGTCACACAATTTGTTCAGAAGTCCCAACAGTATATGAATTTTTGTGAAAATGTTAGGTACAAAATTAATATTTCAGGATTATCCTTCATTATCAGCAATTCCTGTCCCTGCAATCGACAATGACGATACCGTTGATTCATTCTAAAACAAGTAACAGCAAACAAAGAAATGTAATTCGGTGAACATCTGCCGGTCATGACGTACGTTTGAACAAATCTAATATTTTACACTATTACAGTCATTTTTCACCACCTTCGATTTCCTTTCACGATTAGAAATTAGAATACCTAAATGCAATCGCGTTCACTGACTCTTGACTTTATTCACATAAAAACAGATTTTTGTCTCTCAAGGAGTGGGCAACCAGGTGGACATTATACATGTCGAGAAGTCAAATCCATATTTGAATTATTTCAAATAGATCAGAAAAGATAGAAAAGTACAAAAACAGTTTTTGTCTGTTTTGATCTATTTGAAATAATTAAAATAGAAATAAATGGTTTGAAATAATTTGAAACAGTTCTTTAAGAACTTTTCATTTCTACTAATACTAGAAATGAAAAGAGAAAAATCAAAAAAGAAAAGACTTCTTTTCTACACTACTTGTCATTTTTTATGCATAGCTGTTGTTTGTTTACTATAAAGTTTGACAGTTTTATATGTGTAAAAAATATAAATAACACAACCGTTTTCTTTTTTTATCTTTTGTCGACTTTTTCCATCTTTATTGGTCTTTTTTTTCGCCTTTTTGCCCTATAAAAGTCGTCAAAGGTTTATGAAAGGACATAAAAGACTTTTATATGAAAAAAAAATGAGAATTAGAGACCGGTTTGCGATGAAGAAGCCTATTTTTCTTGGTTTCTTTTTTGGTCTTTTAAAGACTTTTAAAGTCGCGGGGTAAAAAAGACAAAAAGAAGAAATTATTTTGCACTTTTTTTCCGTTTTCATGTCGAACTCGACATTCAAAGGTGAAAAGTTGAGAGTGCACTTTTTTGGAGGATTTTCGGTTTGATGGAATACAGGTGTCGAAAGCCTTATTGCGGCAAACTTCGATCAGGTACTTGGAAATCAAATTAAGGTAGCGATGCTTGATAATCTATGGGAGCGTCTAAAGTCGGCTTTCTTCAAGACTAACGAGGGTTTTTTCCTCAAAGAAAAAATAGCATTTTATGCACTTACTTCCTTATTCCAATTATCGAAAATATATTTAGCAACATTGACTTTATTAATTGTTGTTTTTTGATGAAAAATTGAACGAATTTCGATTGGTAATAATATTGTAGACCAAACAGCAAAATCAGCGAAACTACCATTAACATATCCAATTGCGACTTTTAAAGATCTGAACGGCCCTACATGTACATACGAGCATGTACGTATTTTTAGCACATTTTTATTACTATTTAAATAAATTTTTATTGTTTGTGGTGTTTCTAATGATACAAATACAACTGCAATATGATGCCATTCATTAATCTGCCATTGACCCAATGTAATCCATCTGGGTGTACAAGGAATCCAGAATTGCAATTGATTATCATGAACTCGAAAACGTAGAGATAATCTACTTTGTTCATTTTCAAAAACAATATGCATTAATGGTAGATCGAAATGTGTTGCACGTGATAAAAACCAAAATGAAAATGAAAAATTATCGGCATTTAATTCATAGCATTTTTCAATGTGTGTACAACTATCACTAAATGTTAAACATGGACCGTGATTAAAAAATCCATTTGTTTCAATTTCTGGTGGTATAGACTTGTTGATCAAAGTTTTTTCTTCATCAATGATATTTTTAACTGAATTGTGTAAAAAATCATCACTGTCACCACTAGTAGTTGATTCATTTGAAAATTGACACCAAATATTAAGTTTATGAAAAAATGAAAAATAATATTTTTGCAGAAACCAATCGTTGATAATTAAATGTCGAAATGTACGACAGACAGTTGACAGTTTTAGTAATTGATCCAATGATGATTTATCAAAACTTTTGGAAAATATTATTGCTAAAACTTCAGGTGATAATTGAAGAATATTGAAATCACAGTCGTTTGTGGGACATGAAGCTGCTGCTGCCGTTGTTGCTCTTGGTGTTATAGGATCATACGACATTGTAGAATTAAAGCTAAAAAACAATAAATAGAATAATAAGAATAGATAGTGTCAGGTTTTCTTCATGAATCGACGTTTGCGCACTTCCAAATCGCCCGACGCTGAAGTATGAAAGGTAACACGGTTAGCAGACGAGTGCCGTGTGTTGGACAGATACGTCGGACATACAACAAGTTGCATACAGAAGTGACGAAGCCAAGATTCTGTCAAGGGAGTACACAATACACAAATAGTTTAAATTTTTCCCTGATAGAACATAACTATCAGTTAAGCTAAGTCCTTTCTTAAGCGTGTCCTTTACTAAACGTTTAAGAAGAACAAATCTCTATGGAGGTGCCCGAGCACCCCTAGACGAAGCATAAGAATCGAATGCGTAAAGGTCGTTCAGACAAGACCACAACGGCATTCATAATATGGTTCCTATGGAAAAACATGGTCACGGATGGTCGATCTCAATTAAAAACAATAGTTCGTTTAGTCAATATTAAAACTCTAATTATGCAGAAATATTTCTAAGACAAACTTAGAATTCGAAGAGTGCTTGAAAATTCTTTAGTCCAATTCGAAATTTGTCTAGAGGCAAATTTAGAATCTGACTCAACAAAATTAGATTTCCGATTTCGCCAAAAGAATCTTCAGCAAACTTGGCAAAAGTCTAATTATGCCTAGGCAGATTCCGAGTTTGCCTGTAACATATATATAGACAATGAACGGATAACTCAATAGATTGACTTTATTTTGTATCGTCTGCAAAATTGAAGACAACAGACGTGTATAGTCAGTTAGACGTCCACTCATCGATTAATTATCTATTGCCATTTTCTGTGTGGCTATTTCCCGTCCATAGGTTTATGACAGTTTAAAAAAATCAAAACATTTTCAAACTATATATAATCACTAATTTTTCATTTTATCTATCAAAAATGTAACATGATATTCGTCGTCTCTGTATATATTGAGTACATGATACATGTCCAAATGCAGCTTACAATTCTTGTCTATATATCCGTTTTCGACTGGCTGTTTTCAGTGGGAGTATTTTGTGACAGAGAAGAAACATCGTCACACTCTCAACAACAAAGTTTTTCATTTATGTACAAGTAGAGGGTGGTTGCTGAATATTTTGTCTCTGCGGTAAACGTGAAAACACTTTTAATTGTTTTGGCGTGGAAACTTTAAACGAGAGTTCTGTGCTGAAAATAATGAACTTTGATTAAACTAATTCTTCTATCCAGGTAAAGCAATCCTACTAGGTTCCTACAAGATCCATAGTGGTTGCAGGACTTGTCAGCGCCATCTTTAGCACAGATTGGATACCCTAGTCGACTCTCCCCCTGAAAGTCCCCGGGGACTCCCCGAAAAATGCATAATCCCCGGGGACTCCCCAGGGAGTCC